CTTGAAAATAACTGTGTATTTCAAGGAGTTGCCTCTATCCGCACTGTCCCTTAGTTAAATTTCCTACGTAAATAATGTACTTAAATAAGTAAATAATGTCGGTAAATATCTATATTGCCTACCTAATAATGTATAACTGTAAGTATGTAGCGCATTTAATTAGTGATTTCTATGAAATACTAAGTAAGTAGATATTGGCTATACAGCGAACTTGATTGCTAGACAGCTCTATATTTATTGTGTGTATGAAATTAGTTAAAAATAAGTTTAATAACTCGAGAAAAAAAGGCGAGAAAAATTAAGTTGAATTACAAAATTTAAACATAAATTGGAAAAATGCTGCCAATCACAAAGTAAAGCTACCTACATACATACACCCATGTCTGTGGATGTGTTTTCCAACAAACGAACTCAAATATGGAGTGCGAGTGAATAATCTTAGCAAAAGATAAAAAGCTTTATATAACCAATCACTATGCATGCCTATGTACATATGTATGTGTGTGTCTACGCATTTAAAAATGCAAAATTCTAATTTCACTTACACCTAAACTATAGATTGATTTTCTAAAAATATTTGTTGAAAATACATTTATGCACTTAAGTAGGAATATTTTGAAAAGCAAACGTATGTATGTAAATTTATGCATACAAATAGCTAATATGTATATCTACTTGAACTATAAATATGTACTATATATGTATGAACATTATAAATTGTACCTATCTTTTGATACCAAAACAAATTACAAATTAAACGACGATAAACAAACAAACAAAAAATTAAAAAACAACAACAACAAGGAAAACACGTACATACAGATAACACCATACAAACATACATACATATGATAACAGTGCAAAAATACATATACACATATACATACATACATATGAACAGCAAATGCTGGAAAACCTTATCGCATGCAGTATAAGAAAGAAAAAATCATTTATTTGAAAAATACTACATATTTATCAATTTTAGAATCAATTAATTTACAATTTCGCGACTCCACTGTCACGCACACATTTCCACGCTATCTACATATGTACATGTATTTGTATGCTACAAAACGAGAAATGTCGGTAATAAGCCAAAATATTGGAAACTCAAAAATTGAAAAAGCAATTCATTCATCCCTTGGAAAAGTTTTTGGAGTTCTACTCATTTCTTTTTTTTTTTGGAAATATTTTCACAAATCTAATAAACGTGCATACAATTTGCGAGTACATAACCTAACATATTAGAGTCAAAACATACCATTACATAATATAGGAGTATGTATTAAAAAAATATCTAAAAAAAATATTAAAAATCATTATTAATTAAATATTATCAAAATTATATTATACACTAGAGCATATACATTTATAAAATTATACATACATTCATAACGCGATATATTATTATACTAGATATTTATATATACATACATACATACATACATACATACATACATATAAATACCTAGCTTAACATATTCACATTACATATATAAATATATCATATGATAGCAAGAAATTAGTACATATACAAATACATAATTAAATACATACTTATGTAATTAGATAAACGAAAATGTGTCGTTCAAAACTGTCTTCAACTGATAATGGTTATAAATCTACATACACACATACATACATACTAACATACTAGCTATGGCAAGGAGACTATGTAGAATCATACACTTACATATATGTACGTTAATACAATAAAACAAAATACATACATAAATACTAACGAAATAAAAAAAGACGTTAAATTAAATATTGAAAATTTATATATTTTTGATGTTTTTAAACGGAACAAAGTAAGTACTTTTAGTGGCTGATATGCCTGCACTCCTACGAAGCAATGTCAGTTGCTTATTATTTACTAGAAAATACAAAAGCTGCAAGCGTTGAAAAGCAAAAATGGTTCGTAAAGTAAAAATTCTTAGTTTAGAATTTGAAATCCCCGTCGGAGCAAGAGGCACCGAAGAATTTTCTTTGGTAATAAATTCTGTCAACTCAAATTTATTATCTATTCTGATGTGACTTCACTTGATAAACTGAACTTGTCTAAATTCGATTGGTTAGAAATCGAAAATTTTGAAATGCTGCTGATTGAGTTCCAGTGTAATTCAATATGGACTAAAAACTTTGTCGAAACAAGGAACGACTTGGAATCAATAGAATAAGATATACCATAGTCAATTTGGTCGAAAATGCTAATACTAAAATTCTAGAAACTTCGAATTCAATTCTTTTAAAAAATTTTATACGATTTATAGCTGAAATGCAATGCCGGCGAACGGCGAGCTCACCACAGCGAAATTCGCGCTGTCAAAATTAGAACACCCACAAGTATATGAAATTGAACACTGGAAAAGCGAATGCGAAGTTCGCTCGGGGGCGTTTCATGGCGATAGATTTATNTCTTTTTTGCTTTCAAAGTCTTAGAGAAAACAAAATAAACATGAATTATTTTGGTTGCTTGAAACATATAGTTTTGTATTCGTTAAATCTGGCTTGAAATAAAATAATTTAAACTAATCTCTCTTTGTTTTACATTTATATTTGTTATCATTTCGTCATTTCTAAAAAAGGTATATTTTTTCTAAATATGGTCACCCAAATTATACAGGTGACCAAATGGTATCAGCTGTTTTCGCTACCGCTCTAATTCTGTTTAAGTAGGCGAAATAGCTAGGCAAACGGTGAACGACAGCATCGCACGATTCGGCGATGTGTGCCGTTCGCCGATATTGTATTACAAGCATTATGTATCAATTAATGTCTCCAAGAACGGCGATAAGTCATGATTTATTGTTGGCACTTAAATATTACTATTTAAATATTGGGGATATTTCTGCATCACAAAGCAAATGGCGATATGTTCGAAGTATGTATTTTGAATCACAATTAAAACATAAAATAAATGAGTAAAAATTTCACACTTACTGAAGTTCACTGAACTTAACAAGAATATCTACATTGTTAAAATAACACCCGAGTATGTAAAACCTACTGTCTTGGGAATGAGAATACACCATCCCCTGAACCAGGCCGATTTATCTATTAATTTTGTTTTATCTACTTTTTTTACTTTCAGTATTATTTCATGTTATTTACTTTTTAATATTAGATAGTTAAAATTTTTGGAGTTTAATTTTGTTAAAAAGTCTACAACTAAAATAACATTTAAAAAATAATAAAATCAATAATTGAATAAATTTTAAAATATAAAATGAAAATTCTACTGGCTGTCGGGCTGGAACCCATAACCTCGCGGCTCGTCAATGCGCATTACTGCCATCTGTCAGGGTACAATTTTAATCAGGTCAACTGCGCCATTAAGTCAGATCAAAGTTGCCACCTATATATGCTTTTACTGACATCATACCTGTTGCTGGCAGGACTAGATTTCCACGTTTGGATAAATGGTTTGCAAACCTTCAGCTCTTAGCCATTCCAATAAACTGATAGAACTCTTCCAATCCTCATTTTTTATACTGCACCCGGCACGAAAGTGGAGACATTCTTCTGAAAAATTTTATTCTAGGTTAGGTAAGGTTGGGAAGACGGGTACAAATGAATCGTATTGCCACTCAGAGGCAGATTTGCCCATTGTGAATGCCCTCTGTGAGTGCCAGGAGGGGCATATCCTTCTAAGGTTAATCGATAATCTCAGTAAAAGGCTGTCAAACCCTTTACTATCCCTGAGGAAACTGTGGATGTTCGATATTTTCACCTCCGCTATCCCAAATGCTTGAGACGCCTTTAGTAGAGAGCTGGGCAGTGGCATAATAAGTGGTGAATCGATTCCTGGACACCCTCATCCCGACAACTTATGCAGAGGGAACTTGCTGGTATACGCCAAGTAATGGAGCATTGGTGCTATAGCACAGTGCCCTATGATGATACGGTAAGAGCCCTAACTGCAGATTTGTTTAGTGTCAATAGTGCAGAGATCTTGAGACCTCACAGTCGTTCCGATTGATCAAAGGTCATTGTGATTTGTTCTTCAATCCCCCTTAGCAGAAAAGAAATCGGGGCAGTAGGGAGTTGTCCCCTTCTCTAATTTGCATTTCCGAACCGTAGTTAGTATGCTCCTACAATTTTAATTACCTTAGTCTAAGGGCCCCTTTTGCGACTTCCCCCGTTACAAATACTTGTCTTGGCTCCAGGTAAAAGATCGTGATCAGCCTTTCTTGTGGCGCGCTTCTCACGGCGCTTGATACACCGAAACTTTCCACTTATTCTCAGGTTGCTATTTTTATCCAGTGCTTTCCACCAGACCAGCGATCCATAGGTTAAAATCTGTCAGATGACTGTGGTGTATATACCGTGAACAATATGCGTTGACCGCCTTCAGTTTTAGTACGCTGCTGGGCCCTTCTTTCTCTTTGCTCTACGCTGTGCCTCAACGTAAGTTTGGTGTCAAGGATAATACCTTAATATTTCGCCTCGGAGGAAAGCTTAAGACTAGCCCCATCCAGCTTTGGCAAAAGGAATTCCGGTTTTTTGTTTACTTGTGAACAAGATAAGTACGGGTTTAGAAGGGTTAACTCTTGGCCCATTTCGTTTTGCACAGTTGGAAACACTGCCCAGTGCCGATTCCATCAGCTCACTTATTGTTGGCTAGAATTTGCCGGAAATTAGTATAGCCAAGTCATCAGCGTAGGTAGCTATCTTCGTTCTCTTAAACTTTAAAGCTTTGTAACGGTTCATTTAGTACCAAGATCCACAGCAGGGGTGAAGAGCCCCTCCCTGCGGAGTTCCCCATGTATACTAAGTCTGTAGAAAAAATACTTGTACCAACCATATACATACCTTTTAAGGATTAAGTGTCGCTATATTGAGTTCACTTGTATTTACTTTGGTATATTCAGTATTTTTTTCATTTTGATTACCAGCCAAATATATCAGTAGGCTTTCTCCAAGCTAAAATCGAATACCACCACGGCTTTTGAATGCCCCAATCCCACCCAAATTAAGACCAAGCAATTGTCCTCCTATTATATACACAATGTACCTGTTTTATTTAAATATTTGTATGCATGTATGTATAAAAAATTAAGTTCGTAAAAAATCTTAAAACTTAGTGCTTAGAAAACAACAACACACACGCTTTCGAATCTAATTCTAATAATGTAATCATTATGCTAACATTGTAATCGTATTTGTTTGTGATTGGAAATACATAAGAGAGCAAAAAGGAGAAAGAGAGAGAGAGAGAGATATATAGTAAAAGGCATAACTGTATGTGTATGTAATTCTCGTATAAATGTACGTCCTTCCATCAATACTCAAATTAAAAATATGTATTTATTTATAAGTAATATACTGAATGAACCGTTAATAGCGATTATGATTGCGATTATGATATGGAATATTTAATATTACTTTTTTTTTGTGTGTGCCAGAGTAATAATTAAATGCCATGCCATAATAAAAGCAATTAAACGGATATGCAAAAATACAAATATTTATATATTCAAATATATATATATATGTGAGTATGTATGTATGTTTATATGAATTATCAAAGAAAAGAGGTAGCTGATAGATGCAAAGCGGAAAAATAACGTAATGTAATATTAGCAAAATCATTTCAAAGTAAATAGTCGCCTTGGACGATATCCAAAATGCTTTCAATGCCTGCCATTCGTCGAGCTTAGTGCGGATAATAGTTACCGTAATGCGGATCAGCAGCGAGCGGATAGCTAGCATAGGCAGAGCTATGTGCCAAAGCTGGATAGGCTGCAGCAAAATGTGGGCCAGCATGTGCAATGGGTAGGGGAGCGGGTGCTGGTGCTGGGACTGGTGCTGGTGCTGGGACTGGAATGTGGGCTGGAGCGATTGCTATTGGATAGGAAATGGCTGGTGCCTTCACGGCTACTGCTGGGCCGATGGGTGCGGGTGCTATGGGAGCTGGAACAGGGGCGTGGGCGACTTTGTAAGCAATGGGTTCCTTACGCACAACGGCATTGAAGCCATTATGCGGATCAGCGGTATAGTCCACAGTGCGCTTGGTGCCATCCGGATCAACAAGTGAATAGCTGCCCTTGACCACATCGCCATGACGCGTCTCATGTTGGCTCTTCGAATCGCCAGTGTAGCCATCTTGAATGTCATAGCCGAAAGAGTATTTTGGTGCTGGNCGGATAGCTAGCATAGGCAGAGCTATGTGCCAAAGCTGGATAGGCTGCAGCAAAATGTGGGCCAGCATGTGCAATGGGTAGGGGAGCGGGTGCTGGTGCTGGTACTGGTGCTGGTGCTGGGACTGGAATGTGGGCTGGAGCGATTGCTATTGGATAGGAAATGGCTGGTGCCTTCACGGCTACTGCTGGGCCGATGGGTGCGGGTGCTATGGGAGCGGGAGCAGGGGCGTGGGCGACTTTGTAAGCAATGGGTTCCTTACGCACTACGGCATTGAAGCCATTATGCGGATCAGCGGTATAGTCTACAGTGCGCTTGGTGCCATCCGGATCAACAAGTGAATAGCTGCCCTTGACCACATCGCCATGACGCGTCTCATGTTGGCTCTTTGAATCGCCAGTGTAGCCATCTTGAATGTCATAGCCGAAAGAGTATTTTGGTGCTGGATCATAGGGTTCAGGGGCAGCCGGTGCTGGTGCTGGTGCTGAACGGATAAGGAACGAAGAAAATGGTATTCGCTTTTTGCGTTCAGATACCACTTTATATGAAACTGAATAGTAGCTTACCTGGTGCTACATATGGCCCTGGAAGAGGTGCATGAGGTACTGCATAGGGTGCATAGTGTAGCGGTCCAGCGCCGTGTGGTCCATAATGTGCGGCATACGGGCCAATGACACCACAATGGGTTAAAGCAAATGTTGCTGTTATAAAGAGTATCTGAAAATAAAGAAGGTTACATACTAAGTTTACTTAAAGTTGAAAGTAAGTATTGGAAGACAAACATAGAGATATGCCTGCTTGGGCATTTTTTTCCGAATTAAAAGCTCAAGGCATAGTTACACATAGTAGTTCCGAGAAAAAGTTATTAGCTCAGTTGCACCGAAAATATTTTGAGCTATTACCTACTGATGGGTTAATTTAAGTTAAGTGGCAGCCCAAAGAGGGACTCACTTAGCTATTCAAATTACAAACGTGTGAAGTTAGGAACATGTTTGGGTGCTCAAAATAAAATGTAAGCCGAGGTGTTTAAACCTTTTTCTAGTGAAAACCAAGCCGCTAAGGAGGAAGTACTGAGCTAATTTCACCTCGTCCTGCAGACAGCAGCGACAGTAGAGACACGTAATGATACTAAATCGCATCGCACGGGTTATCAAAGACCGTTGTACGATCATTACATCTGCAAGAATTCAAAGACGGCGTTTACCCCTAGAAAATCTTAGTCAACCACTGGCCAAAAATACTTCGCAACTTTACATGCCAAGGCATTTGTAAAGCGATGGCTGAGCCGACCGTAAGGCCATGTAACCAAGAGTGATCCGAAAGTTGCAAAAAAACTTCCATGCGCTCCCTCATCGTGGAGATGACTACAAGGGTACCGTATGTAGCCAATTAGACAGCTCTTCAATATCCGGCATTCTCACTGTATCCAGGAACCCAAAACAACTGGCATGTAAAAAACCCTTAGGCAGGTGCGATCGTGCAATGAGCGATCCAAGGGCCTTGAGTACCGTTCTAATCCGTAATATACTGGTGCGTAGCCATTTGGCTGT